GGTCTTCAAATCATAATGCATGTGATGGACATCAAGCTTAAAGGCTTGTTGATCAAAGTACATCGTTAAGAATGCTTATAAATGATTAATTCAAAAATAAATATCTAAAACTCCTTCTTTGATCAAGTCTGATTTTTCCCAAAATCCAAACAACAAAATAAGATAATTTGTAAATTTTAAGAAAATAACTCATTTTTTGTCGATTTATTGTAATTTGTTCAAGAAAATAGGACAATAATTCATATAAAGTACTTTTGAAAGTTAAAAAAATCTGTAAAAAGATTTGGAAGACCTATACATTAATTAAAGATAGTTTATGAGGTTGCATGCATTTGTATTGCTATTTTCTATTTGATTTGATTTTATGTTTGTTGAGAACAAATAATAGTAAAATACATTTATGTATGTCAAAAACCATATTTGATAATTTTTGTACCTTCTATACATTGCAAAGACTCCATGCAAAAAGTTACAGATTTTTCCATGAATATTTCTTACTTTTCCTGATTTAATGAATGTTTAAAGGGTTTAATTGATATTAAATAGCTAAACTTATTTAAAAATTATAAAACTTTATCAAAATATTTTTATAATACATATTAATCGTAAATAAAAAGTTTAATGAATTGTACTTAGTGTTTTGTAATTTTTGATGAATTAATGCTTATTTGTGTGAATAAATCAAGGAAAAAATAGTTAAATTGTTCTAAAAATCACAAGAAATATTGATAACGCCTTATATTATAGTTTAACAACAAATACAAAGTTTGTGAAATTTTCTAAATTGTTTAATATTTATTTCCATTTTTGCTAGAATAAATACACAAAAATCATAAAAACAGGTTAAACTATTTACAAACCAGTTTCAATATTTTTCCCAGTTTACATAGATTAAATAACAATTGTAAAAAAGTTTGAAGATTTATTTCAGCTGTTTGATATTTATTTCCAATCTCCTAAGATTAAACACACACAAATCCAAAATTGGTTTTCAACTATTTAAGAATGACTTTTGATATTTTTCCCATATTATATACATTGTATAACACTTGTACAAAAATATTGGTAATTTTCCTAAACAATTTAGTATTTTTCACATTTTTATGATGCTTTCAAGGAATCAAATATTGGAAAAATAGTTAAACATATTTAAAAATCAAGAAAGATTACAAGGAGGTTCTAAATTACAGTAAGAACTGAAATCTAAAGTATGAAAATTTTTAGAACTAAATTGATTTAGTTATTAAATATTTATTTATTAAAACACCTCCTAAAATGCTAAATTTAACATTTCAATAATGAGAAATTCCACTTGAATTTGTTTTATAAAAAATTGATTCATAGAAATCTAAATTTCACATAAATATGTTTGTAACTTATCAATATCAAAATTTTGACACAATATTGTCATAATGCTATTGTAGTAGTAAGCTATGAAGTTGTCGCGGTCTAAGATCTTATAGCGGTCACTTGCCATGATTTAAAATACCGGTTCTTGCGGTGGGATATCGGTGGGATTTATGTTTTTAAAAATTATATATATATATATATATATATATATATATATATATATATATATATATATATATATATATATATAATCACAAAAACTAACATGTTTACAAGTTAAAACTATAATATGTTGCACAAAAAGAGTTACAAATTAAATGCATAACTGAGGTTTGATTACAATTACAAATTAGATGCATTAACAAAAGGTGATTGGTATTATAATATTACAAGTTGTGGGCTAATCCATATCAAAGTACTTATTTTATTTATAAATCTGTATAAAAATCCCAAAAACTCAAATAGCGTGAAAAAAATGGGATACCGGTATTGAAATATCGGTGAAATAGCGGCCGATATCGGCTGATATCGGCGATAATCTCGGCTCCGATATTTTAGAACGCTATTTGATACCGGGATTTTGCAAACACCCGAGAAACGTTATCCCACCGAGATCTCGGTGCTATTAACTGCCCAGGTAGTAAGTATACTAGTATTAGGTTTTGATTAGAGACTCATTAGTGTGAAACATCATTGTATGAATCGGTAGTGGTACGAGTGGAGCGTAGTTCAAGGCACCATTTGCATTATCTCAAAGCATTGTCACTATTTACAACCCTTATTTTTCCGTTTTTACGTTTGGGGTGGAAAAGCATGTCCTAAATTATGTTGGTGATTTTGTATCATCAATGTGTATTTAAGTGTAATGGATTAACTTGTTGACCAAAATCAATCTTGATGAATAGTAAACAAGTAAGGAAGATGCAGAGTGCACACTTGGTTAAGTTCATTCAAGATTCAAAGTAGACTGTCATTTAGGGGCGAAACCCCTAAACGAACGGGGGTCCGAGGGCAGTACTCCTAGGAGTGGGGTCCAGGGGGTGGCAGCCCCTGGCTGGGTCCAAGGGGCAGAGCCCCTGGCTGGGGTTAAGCTGTTTTTGGACTTCATTTTGACCCTTATTAAGAATCTAGTTTTAGTGATAGTTTATGACTGTTATAAACTGTCTTTTGACAGTTTGAGTAGTTTTTTGACAAAGAAACTGCTTTGACAGTTTTTAGACACAGGAAGTATTTAAGCATTTTGGTCATAATTTTCTTGGTACAACTGTAATCACGAAAATCATAACTTCATAATCTCTGTTCTTGAAAACTCTTCTGAGTCTTATCCGATTAAAGGTTGGGAGTACCACCCAAATACTTTGATCTGAAAGTAAACACACGATTCTTAGAATTTCCAAGCCTTTTATTACCCCGAATTAATTCTAACAAATTATTTATGTTCGTTGTATTTAATTTGACTTGTATCAAACTTGGATGCTATATCTTGCATGTATGTGTATGTTACTTTAATTCATGAGGCCTGTATCACGGTTAAGTCCTTAGAATCATTTGACACAACTCATTAACTCTTTTGAGCCCATGGTCATTATGGATAGCGTTATTAGGAGGTAGACAACTCCTCACTCGCACGATTCGCGGAGTGTATTTTTACCATTTTATTCACTATGTTAGCGATACACATTGCAATCAATAGGGCACGATTCGGTCATTAGGCTTGGGTTGTGAGCTCATGGATGAAATCTTTATGCACATATGAATCTTACATCGCATTTTAGCAACAAACTTTGTTTCTCATTTTAATAACGAACTATGCATTCCATTATAGCAATGTACTTTCATTTATGGAAACTTTTATCAAAACTTTGATATGATTTATGAAACCATTATTTTTTTAAACATGTGAACTCATGGATGGAATCATTATGCACATAAGAAACTTGTTTACTCATTTTAGGAACGAACTTTATTTCCATGAGAATATGAACCTTGCATCTCTTTTTGGCAACATACTTTATTTCTCATGATGACAACGAACTTTGTTTATGCAAACTTATTTACTCATTTTAGCAATGTACTCTTATTTATGGAGACTTCTATCAAAACTTTGATTATGATTCATGAAACCACATTTTTGTAAACCTGTGAACTCACCAATTAATTTTGAAGTTGACGCTCGTTTTACATGCTTTTTCAGTGATCATCTAGTAAGAGGCACATAGAGACACAACACTTGTAGAAGCATTACGCATGCGTTATTTTTCAAATGTATTGTAATATTTTTCGTTAAAGTTGTTCAAACTCATTGTAAACTGTAAAGCTTTTAATACTATGGTTGGTGTTGTCTTTATCTTTTGCTATGAAACCCTTTGTACTGTCACACATGTGTTTCCGCTTTAGCGGGGTGTAACATACTGTCACGTCGTGGCGACTTAAATGAACTTGCGATGCCTCTTGATTTGTCACGTCGTGGTGCCTCCCCCACGTCGTGGCAAACCTTAAAATACTAAAAGAAAAAAAACATTGAATTTGAATTACCGTGGGATTTAGGTGTTACACCGTAGGGTATGTATGGGAAGCATCTTTCACTTTTTGAGTGTCACGTCGAGTTTCTCTCACTCTTCTTTCCCTCACCAAAAAGGCTGGAAATGATCATCTTTCACTACGGTTCACTTTTATTTTATTTTTAAATAAAAATAATTGATTTTTAAGATTTATAATTCAAAAAATAAATATAATTTTTTAAAAATGATTAATAAACACAACAATTAATTAAAATAAAAATACTTCATTACTTAAAATAAAAATTACATAAAAACAAACTAAGAATAAAAAATCCTAGAAAACAACCAAGATTTAAGTAAACATAACCTAGATTTAAAAAAAACAAAAAGCAAAACAATCTACGGGAAATATTTTTTTCATGATCTTTCTCTTTCTTCTTCAAAACTAGTTCGAGGGCCAGTCCCGAAAGATGATCGGTGTTTCCATCAAGAACTTCATATCCTCCATTTCTTTCCTTTCCGCCCGTTCTTTATTTTTTTCGGCCTCTTTTTCTTTGTCGAATGCCAAACGTTCAGAGCGAAGTCCAGATTGTATTGATCTATGTCGCCGTCATTTTCTGCATTTCGTCTGCGTGCATGCTAAAATCCGATGCACCGTAAGAAGTCACCTTCCCCTTCCGTTTTGATTTGTCCCTACCCATCGGTCGGATAATTTCTTCTCGCTCGAGTTCGTCCTCGTCATTTGAATCTAGCCCAACACAAGCATTAAAAGAAGTTGTGTATTCACTGAAGCCCCTTTTTGTTCTTTTTAATTGGCCTTCTTCTCGTAATATAAAATCTTGTTCGTATACATTAACACTATACAATACCAAAATATAAAATTTCAATTAGTTTGCATCATTTAAAATGTTTGTAAGCATTAAACGATTCATGTTGCATTTTTTCTCCGAGCATGCTATATTGCAAATATATAGTTCACGATTATTCATTTAATTCTTTTAATTTATTTTCTATTGGGCCTTATTGACTTAAGTATGCTCAAATTACAGTTGTTTAACATAGGGATTGTTAGATAAAACCAAATTATTTAATGTTGAATGATTCCAATCTCTTAACAGTCGAAAGAAATTCATTCAAAGACAATAAAATGCACATGACTTTTAGAGTTTTCATTTCTTAACAAATCTGTGACATACAAATCAAATATAAATGAATCAAATAAACAAAATCACTCAACGTTGTTATACATGTGGAATTTATTCATGAAAATATCATATATATCTTGATTACATGTCAGATGATTCGGGCACAATCTCCTGCATCACATATCACAACAGCTGTTTCTTGGTTAAGATAGGAAGCCAGATGAGGTTGAACCTTCAAGTATTCCTTCTTCACAAACAAAGAAGCTTCCTCTGCGTATTCTGCATTCACAAATGCCACACAACAACCTCGAAATCCCGCACCACTGAACCGGGCCCCATAGACGCCAGGTGTCCTTATAAGGATCTCGTATAGTTGAATTAGCGGTTCACAACCTAAAAAAAAAGTTCAAATATTTGGATCTGACAAGACAGTCTTGTACCGCGTTTGACATGCATTGAACAGACAGACTGATATGACGGGACAAAAAACAAAAATTGCAATTTTTTGTCCTACCCAAAAAAGGTGGGACGGGACAAGGACTTGGTCTCGATCTCTTCTATGTGAAAAAGACGTAAATACCCTCCTCATCCTTATCATCGAAGATAGCCCTAGAAAGACGTGAAGACAGCCTTGTACTACGTTTGACATGCATTGGACAGACCGACTGATATGACGAGACAAAAAACAAAAATTGCAATTTTTTGTCCTACCCAAAAAAGGTGGGACGGGACAAGGACTTGGTCTCGATCTCTTCTATGTTAAAAAGACGTAAATGCCCTTCTCATTCTTATCGTCGAAGATAGCCTTAGAAAGTTTGTCCTGTTCACTCCGGTCACATCCAACCGTGTCCCGTGTATACACGGGACACAGCCTGACGGGATTAGACTGGACTGGACAAGCTTTCTAGGGCTATCTTCGATGATAAGGATCAGGAGGGTATTTACGTCTTTTTCACATAGAAGAGATCGAGACCAAGTCCTTGTCCCGTCCCACCTTTTTTGGTAGGACAAAAAAATTGAAATTTTTGTTTTTTGTCCCGTCACATCAGGTAGTCAGTCCAATGCATGTCAAACGCAGTACCTGTCTTCACGTCTTTCTAGGGCTATCTTCGATGATAAGGATGAGGAGGGTATTCACGTCTTTTTCACATACGAGAGATTAAGACCAAGTCCATGTCCCACAAAAAATTGAAAATTTTGTCTCGTTGACATTAGTCTGTATGTCTCACAGTCTGAGTCCAGTGCATGTCAAACACAGTTCTACTTAACAAATGGGGATTTAAAGAACATGAAGTCATACCGCATTCATAATTCTCAATAGAGCTTAAGCCAGAGGCAGAGATAAGTTTCCCAAACTCCTCAAAATTTCCGGATCCCCATGCTTCTAATCCTGTAACAAATTAAATTATTATATGAATTTGATGGAATGTTAAAAGGGTAAAATTAAAAATTAAAGATCATAACCTTTAATAACTCGCATATTCTCGGAGAAATAATGTTCTGCTCTTCTAGCTAAATCTGGTTCTAATTTGGACTGAAAAACAGAAATTTATGTTAATGGATGAATTCATTTATAAATGTCTATTTTTTTATTAGTTCTAATTATAAAGGTGGAGTTAACTGCAGAAGGTTAAAGAAAATTAAAATATAACCTTATGAGCTTCATATTCTTCTTGTTCAACTGCAAAATAAGATTAAATAAAAAAAGAAAGTTAAGAGTGAAAGAAATAAGAAAAATAAATAAATGAATAAACAAGAGTAAATCCATAAATGTCACAATTCTATTTCTAACCATTAGACAAGATTGGCTCAACTTCTTTCCCTGAGGCCCTGTAAAATAACATTACATTTTCATGTAAAAAATCCACAGTATCTGTGATAAAGGAGTAGGGGCATTTTGGTCTTTTTCCTAGTTAGGACTTAGGTCGGTTTAAGTAATAAGATTAAATATGGTATTGGTATAATGATGTTGTATACTGATTATTTTCTATTTAATTCACATATTCATTAAATATTTAATTTGAAAAGTAAATAAAAGTAGGTTGCTATTTCTTGCATTTAGGAATTTAGGTAAAGAATTAAGAATCTTACTTTAGAAGAATCTTTGCAGCCTCTCTACACTCAGAAACTCTTCGATTATATCCAGGGTTAGTTGTTAATGCCTGTTTTAACCCTGAAAAAGCTAATAAAATCTTGTATGGAATTTTGGTTTCAGATTTTTTCTCCATTTCAAGCTTAGGTGGATGTATAAGCTTGTGTTTTTTAGTCTGCATAAAAGTTTACAAGATTCATTTAAAAAAAGTATTCAAGAAAAACTGAGTAATTGCATAAATTTATGATAAAAATTTTTATAATAATACCTTGCAATCCATAAAAGTTAAACAGCCATAGCTTGAAAGCAATATAGCTGATTGATCCAATATGCCATTTTTCAGACCCAAGTATTCATTCTCAATTAGCCTATATAAGATTTAGAAATAAAATAAATAAATAAATAAAACATTTTTTTTTTCATTTAAAATAATTAGGAACCTACCTATCATACTCAATATTTTCTGTAGGAGATATGCTAAGATTATTTGCACTTTCCAAAGCCAAAAGATAAGCAACTCCAACCTATCAAGCATTTAAAAAAAAAAAGAATCATAATTACTAAATTAGAAGATATATAAAGATGATTCAATCATTCAAATGAAATATTTATAAAGAAAGGAGAAAAAGAATAAAAACTTACAGCAGCAGAAGAGCTTAGACCTGAACTATCAAGACCCTTTGTCCCACAAATGAATCCAGTGATACCCTGAAACAAGATTTAATCAAAAACTTATATAAAAGTTTGTGTTATAACTTAATAACTTATAAAATTATTTATTTAAAATCTTTTAACTTGTTTTAGATGGTTTTTTCCACGTTGTAATGCATACAAAGCTCCTTTAGCATAACTTCCCCACTTGCATTCCTCCATTGTATTGCCATTTGACTTGTCAATATGCTTTGGAAGCTGAATTTGGTCAACTCTGTAGTCAATTTTCCAAACTCAATATAGAAAATGTTGTGAAATAAAACATGGAATGAAAATAAAATTACCTGAAAGAAACTTGTCCACTAAATTGTCCAGACTTTAGTAGAACCTTTGTATATAGATCCATTTAACATGAAGAGGACAAAGGCTATTAAATCAAAGTAAACAGTAAACAAGAAATGAAGAATTATCCATTGGTGAGAGAATTATAATTTATAGTTTATACCTGAGGATCACCAGAAGGAACAAATCCAAGAATTATACCCTTATCAACTGTCATGGCTGAAACTGTTCCACCCTGTATCATCAAAATAACAAGGCACAAATCCATGGATGATGAATACATATGAAACAAGATCGTAAATGGAGATATGTCGCAACCTGATGATCAATATGAGCTCCCAAAGGGCAAATCCTGTAAGGGGATACAACAATTCTAACCACATCAACAGCTACTCCAGCCATTTCAGCAACTATCTTCCTGATTTTATCCAACTGCGGATATAAACACCGAATTCGTGACAAAATCAATATCAATATTCGATTTGAAAAGCAATCAGTTTCAAACACTCTTGATTTAAGCCAAATTAAGTTACGAATTCCATAAAATGCAGTGATATGCAATAGTAAGGGGACTAGGATAGGAGATTGTATGTTCTAATAACGAAACAAACATCAGTGAAAAGTGAAAACTAATAATATCGCTAGTATGACACGAACTCTTTTTATCCTCCATTTTACTCGGATCCCATCAGAAATCCTAGTTTGAAAGCATCATCAAGGATTGAGTTCATAGAATAAGAACACATTGCATCAAAAACAGTAGCAGTGAATTAAATGGGAGTGTGTAAACGAATAATTAAAGTAAGTAAAACTGGATCAAAAACTTCACCTCTGAATCAGATGGCCAAGACAATACACCCATTTTGGAATCACCCTTGTTGAATGCCAAAGCTTAATTGTGTAGTTTGATATTGAATCAATGTTATTGAGATTTAACACAGAGGAGTGAAGATGAAGAAAAGATCAACCGCGAAATTATTAGTCATGAGTTGAGATGTCGCGATGTGATATGAAATATCATTATCAACGCACAGTGAAACAATCCTCTGCATCTGGTTGGATATTCTGTAAAATTAGAGTAAATTACAGAAATGGTCACTATGATTTGGTAAAATTTGCAGCTTTGGTCCAACCTTTGATAAATTGATTAGTTGGGTCCCTATGGTTTCAATACATTACACTGCTGGTCCCTTATAGATAACATCATCCATACTTACTGTTAAATCAGTTAAATCGGTGTAAAATGACCAACCTACCCTTTCATTTTGTCTATTTTGTTATCTATAGATATAAGGGCAGGGCACCCCCACCCCCACCCCCACCTAATGTCATTACCCGCCCACCCAACATTACTAGCCAGGCTCGAGCTCGACTCGGCTCGCTTAAGTTATACGAGGCTCGAACTCGAGCTCGGCTCGATTCGAATTTTCTTGTACTGAGCTCGGCTCGAGCTCGTAAAGAATTATACAAGGTTGGCTTGAGCTCGGAATCGACTCGTTTTTTATTTGATGTGTCTAAATAAGCTTAAGCTCAGTTCGGGCTCGTTAAGAAGCTCGTTTACTATTACTCTAAATTCATAATTCCCCAAATATGTTTTTATTTTAATATATAAAAATAATAATATATTATTCTATATAAAGGCTCGTTTAGGCTAGCGAGCCTAATCGAGCTTAGTGACATAGGCTCCAGCTCCAGCTCATTTAATAAACGAGCTTAATATTAAGCTCGAGCTCGGCCTCGTTTAAAATCGGTTTCGAATCGATCTTTTAACGATCTGATCCTGAGTAGCTCACAAATAGCTTGACTCGTTTGCACCCCTACCAGCCAGCCAGCCAAAACTACTATGCATCACCGTAATGTTCATATATAGCTTAAAATCAAAACCAATCCAAATAGTTAACAAAAAAAAAAATCAAGAACTAGAAATTAAGAACCCAAGCAACCAAGAATTTCTAAGCAACAATGATGATGTGGATATAAATAATAACTCATAAATGTATATGTTTTGAAAGAAAACTTCGCCACCTCCAACATTTTTCCCAACAATTTCACATGTGAAACTCCATGAGCACGAGTTATCCTACACTTGGGTTTTCCAAACTCGTCATACACATTACACACCCTTTTTATATGAGAATCTGACAAGCATCTATTCCTTAAGAACCACCTAACTGGATATAAATTTTTTTAGCTTCAAGGTGTATCAAGGTATATATGAACTTCCAAAACCATTCCCACACCCTCGTTCACTACCAATATATATATTTCCACCACCAGAATTCATGGAGATTTTAGGGAATTAATGGAGTAGTCTGTTAGTAATGAGAAAGAAGAAAAATAGATTCCCAGACGACAAAACTCATTTGGTATCCAAACAATCCCACTATTTCTTCAAGATCTCAATGCCTATGTTTATTAAACTATAGTCAGAGAATTATTAATCATCCCCACGAAATCTGGATTTCTTGAAATTCATCAACGTAAAAAAATTTATTAGTGGAAATAAGGAGCGGGGGTTGTCGATTTGTCGTGGGTAATTAGTAGTAGGGGAATAAGAACTTATGTTAGAGCTTTTATTTATGTGGTCCATATGGTTAGTGTTTTTATTGTTTTGGTCCTTATAGTTAGAGTGTTAAATAATTTCGACAAAACTTCAAAAATGGTCCCTGTGGTTTTCAAAAATATCAAGTTTAGTCCCTAATTTCAAAAAACCTCACAGATGGTCCCTGTGGTTTCAGAACTTTTAACAAATGGTCCTTTTCGCTAACTCCGTTAGCTTTTGGCCGTTAAGTGAAGGGTATTTCCGTCATTTCACAAAAGAGGGACCATTTATGAAGTTTTTTGTTATTTTAAAAAAATATAATTATTTAATAAAGGGTCCCACCCTCTCTCTCTCTCTCTCTCTCTCTCTCTCTCTCTCTCTCTCTTCCCTTGAAGCCACAGCTCAGGAAAGATGGAAAAACGGGATGTCGGCCTCTCCATCTCCGATTCTCGACTGTTCCAGCCCCATCTCCATCCTTGCTTCGTTAATTCAACACCCACCACCTGCTTGTTGTATTTTCAAGTACCATCGACACCCAAAACAGCCTCCTAGCAAGGCTTAAACTGCTGAGAAACTGTCACGATAAAAGCACCGGCAGCTCTCCCTTAGACGACCAAAAGCAGCCTCGAACACCCCCTCATTCCCTTGACCGACAGATGCTGCTACTGTCTCCCTTCTGTCGGGTTACGGCTGGCGATGAGGCAAAATGAAAGAAGGAAACCGCCGGAGCAAACCTGTACAGCCGACGCCCCCTCCCCCCTTTCTCACGATCGCCAGCCACATGACCACCATTTTGACTGCCTTCGATCGCCTGATGCCTTCTCGATCTAATGAAGACGAAGATGAGAACCGAGGTCCCTTTCTCAGTCCCACCTTGTGATCTGCTTGAACCTCATTAGTACCCTCGATTTTTGATTGCTTCCATTCGTGTTCTTCCCTGATCAGACGAAGAAGACGCACCATCTCCCTTTTGCATTTGAGTTCATCGACGAAGTGAAGATCCAGTTTAAGATGGGTTCTTTTGAGAGAGAGAGAGAGAGAGAGAGAGTGGGACCCTTTATTAAATAATTATATTTTTTTTAAATAACAAAAAACTTCATAAATGGTCCCTCTTTTGTGAAATGACGGAAATACCCTTCACTTAACGGCCAAAAGCTAACGGAGTTAGCGAAAAGGACCATTTGTTAAAAGTTTTGAAACCACAGGGACCATCTGTGAGGTTTTTTGAACTTAGGGACTAAACTTGATATTTTTGAAAACCACAGGGACCATTTTTGAAGTTTTGTCAATAATTTATTATACTAAAATGGTCATTATACAAATATAGGGACTAAACTTGATATTTTTGAAAACCACAGGGACCATTTTTGAAGTTTTGTCAATAATTTATTATACTAAAATGGTCATTATATTCAAATATAACAGCTTTATAGTTAGATTTCACGGTGAAGGGACAAAGAATGTAATTTGTTGAAACCACAAGGATGTAACCTATCTATTTTCCAAGGATTAGACTAAGCGAATTTGTCCAAAACACAGGGACCATTTCTGTAATTTACTCGTAAAATAATATACGTGTCAATTAAGGGGTGTTTGGGTATGAGGATATCCTCTTATAAAATTGATGGATTATGGAAGACAATGTTTGGATAAATTTAAGCTGTTTAAAGTTATATTAATTGGCTTTGTAATTGTATATATTTAGGTAGTTGTGAAATATTAAGCAAAAAAATGTTCACAAATGATATTATTTTATAATTATGAACTGTATAAATTTAGAATATAATAATTCTTTACCAATTATGATGATATCTTCTAATAATTGATTTATTACTAAAAATGTTTTCCTCTATAGTTTTAACGAGTAGTTTTATTTAGAAATGAAAACTTATAGGTATATAATGTTACTATAATGATGTTAAAAAGAGGTATATTTTTGGTTTTCTTTCAAACAATCAGTTTATTGTGTGGCTAAATTTGATTTTGTTTAAATAAAAAAAACTAATATTTAATACTTAATAATCAGTTTTTTTTTTCAAAAATTAAGAAACTAATTATTTTAAACAATAATAATTAAAGAATAACTATACAACAGTTAATTAAAGACAATTAATTGAGTTGATTTATATTTTTTTACATGTTGTATTTAGATTAATACCTAGATTTGATTATTGATAAGAGTTCTTAGAACATTATTAATGATGACAAAAAGGAGTACCCCAAGATGTTCCTTGTAGCTTATGTTGAGATATTGGTTTACCCAGAGAACAAAAGAAAATTATGAACTAAAACAGAAATTATTAATTAGATAACTTTTAGTACGTTATAACTAGCTAATTTAATTTCGAGCTTTTTATAATCATTATTTATGACAAAATTAGCTAGTTTAGGTTTCCACCTTTTTATAATCGTTATTTATGGCAAATAAAAAAACAGCTTAGGCCATATTTATTGGGGTTTGGTTGCAACCGGTTCGTGGGAGAAAATAGAAAAGATGAAAAAAAAATCGTGACAACCACATATCAAATGCACATGCCACATGGCACTTTGCCATTAATTTATCATTTTTATTTTTATTTAAACTTTAGAAATAATATACTATGCATTAACATTATTACAAAAATATAAAATATTTATATTAAAACTTATACTTTGTAATTATTTATAAATAGTACATAACAATATTAATATATTTTAATTGTATATTTAAGTCTGTCAATTAGAGTTTAAGTTTTATTAAGATAGATTGTTGATAAATGATAAAAATATTCAAATTGGTTGGTAGACCGCATAGTATTAGTTGTGTTGGTGGATGTTGATGAAAATTGGGTTGTAACTGGTTGTCGGTTCCTGATAAATATAATCTTATAAACTAATTTTTGAAAAACTGCTCACAATCGGTTTTCAACGAGCCCATTGAACCTTTTATAAATTCTCCAAAATACAATGTTTATTAACTAATAAAAACATAATCGTGTACATGTTTTTTATGTCCATTTTATTTTATGTATTTTATTTTATGTATTTCGGTTAATTTTATCAAATGTTATTTTTTATTGACCAGCTTATAAGTTCGTAATAAGTTTTTAAATATCAGTTTTAATAAACATTGATAAAAACAAATGTGTAACAAAATTTGCTACAGATCTTGACTTTTCAAACAATTCTTCAACACATATAGTATGTTTTTGAAACAATTAATGAAGTATGTGATTAGTAACTGAAAATATCTCTTCGTGGATTCAAAACATACCTAATTATTAATCAATATTAGAATAAATATTGTATCATTGGACGGTTTTGAAGATACACTTTTATCAAAGTTCGTGAAAATAATATATAAAATATAGAAAGAAAAATTAATAACTTAACTTCGGTTAAAAACGTCATTTTACTCATAAATCTATATCTTTCGTATAAAACGGGACTTCAACCTCTAACTTTTAGTTAAAGTGCTCATATCTGTCAACTTATGATACCTCTA